GATGGCTTCTTCCGTGCGGGCGCTTTCCGTGGCGGGGGCGCGGGGGAGGAGGCCGTGTTCAGTGGCGAACGAGCCGAATTCGTTCTCCCACTCGGCCAACTCGACACCCAAGATGGCCTTTTCCGTCGACGACAACGACACGACCGACTGTCTAGCCGCGGCAGCAGAGGCAAGAACAAACGCACCAAACTTCATTGTCGAGATTGCTATTGTGTGGGGAGCGTTAATCGAATAATGAAATGTCAAGGGGCATGCATGCTCCACGGCTAGGTTGTGCTACAGTCCCAAGGAACCACAGGTGGACACTGTATGTTGGTCGACGAGCCTCGTGATCGCAATGCAGACATGCCTCCACATTTCAATGTTCTCGTTCTTCCATGATTGCATTTCTCATATCGACTCAGATGGAGGTTACCAGATACAGTATCGCAATCATGAGGCTGGAATTGTATGGACCGCACTGAGCGCTGTCTTTACTGACACATTTGGGAAGTTCTTAAATGTGGTAGGCCGGCGAAGTGGTGCACGAGTAATCAAGGGTCATGTACACTTTAGTTAACTACCGGTAGATAATTGAAAGGGATCGGCGTTAGCTGCTTTGCTGAGACTGCTGGTGGTTTCCCTTTACATCCCACGATCGGAATTGCCAATGGCATGAGCGAAGTAAATGGACACGCAATGGCTCATCCTCAGCCATGTGACTCCAGGATGATTAATTCCTTCATTAACAGTTCCATGGTTGATTTGACCCGAAATATTGTTTCAATGTTTGGGATTATGCCATCCGAATACACTTTGTAGCGCGTAGCCCTGTAACCTGGGACTCCGTCCTATCCCCGATGAGTAAAATCCCGGGAGTTAGCTGCACGACCAGTGGTTAGCTATCGCTACAGTAATCACATAACCCCTAGTAAGTGGTGAAGCGGTCTGAGCTTACATATATAGAGAGTTCCATATAAACACGCAAATTGTTTTCTAAGAAATTTTGCTGTTACTGTACTGTTAACGGAATTGTACATCCAGTATTGACATCTGAGCTCAGTGGTAGAGCATCGCTTTCTTAACTCAAAGGTCGTGGGTTCGATCCCCGGCTTCCCCGGATTATTCAATTAACCAGTTTAGATATATGACTCTTGACAATCATACTTCGAAGTAGTAACATCAAGTTGGTTACATACCACAAAAGCATTCCAACAATTCCGATCATATGTAACAGCCATCAAACATCAACATAATTTAGAGCATCTCCACCGCATCCCCAAATATTTTTGTCCCCATCCCTAAATTAGAGCCAGTTCACTGTTTTTGGGATGTCTGCAAAAAATCTTCCGTTTTGGTAGCTGTCCCCTTCCCAATTGACCTGAAGCTGGAAGTGCATGGTATGACATCGAGAGGCTGCCAAGTTCACTCTGGAACGGAGTTATGAACGGTGTTTGCCTCTCTCTATTAATAGTGGTAGTTAACTTTTCAGAGATTACGACTGGGTGGCATGTCGATGGTGACCATCGCCTTGCTATTGAGTTTCCCAAGGTCGGTGATGCCGGTACTTGCAAGCCTACTTGACCGCAGCGATTATGTAATCCCACGCACCAAGATATATAGTGTAATTGTTGCTGCGGACTCTTGTCCGTGATGCGCGACCACATAGCGTTATGCGGTTGCGCCTCTTGGACAAACCCGCGTCCGCCGCAGCGTGGGAACGAGAGTCACCGGCAATCACTGCCGCAGCGATATCGGCCAGATATCGCTGTATCAATGAATACTGGTGACTCTCGTTCGCCACATCGTCCGCGTGCCCGACGACGGCGAGACGTGGTTCACAATACAGACCGTCGGTCGCTGTGTTCAAAGCCGACGTTGAGAAACTGCACGAATGGACTTGATTTTTTCATACATATTGTAGTATATTTATTGGGACAATTAGTTGGGATATCCCAATAGTGTGCAATTTTCGGGACAAAGAGGATGTCCCAACCCCAAATTTGGTTTTCGGGACATCCGGTGGGGAAGATTTTGTTCCATCTGATGTCCCATTATCGAGTTGGGACATATTTGGGGATGCGGTGGAGATGCTCTTACAATCACAATCCGAGCAGTTCACTCAAAGAAGTTGATTGGGGAGATAGTGGTAGTGCTTGCTGTGATCGGGTGGGTGCATAACCTACTTGGAGGTATAAGATCAACGATGTGCAAAGTAAAAGTAGTCATCTTGCGAGAGTCCAAAATTACCTTGGGCGATGTCGCTATGACTTGAAATTTCGTGTTGACGCATCGTAAACAAGTCACCATATCGTCGTAACGTCACAGTATTAGAATTGATTGGGGTGCCCGCAAAGGGCTGCACAGAGGAAGGGAGGAGGCTCATAACCTGTCAAGAGGGACAGGGTAGCATTAAGGAGGTACGACGATGAGAACACTTGTGTGGTCGAGGTCAAAACCAAAAGTGATCATTAACGGACTGCTTAGCTGACCTATGATTGGGCAGGAACAGTCCGGCTTCTACAGAGAAAGAACACCGCATAATTCCGGATGACCGGATCTTATCTGTAAGTGACCGAACCTCGGCGAAAAAGGCCAATGCAAGAACGGCCAAATTCTTGACAAGGATCACACTAATACTAACGTTAGCAATACTTAGACAAACCCTGAAATACGTTCAATAAATCGGGATACCGTTCAAACTAATAAACTCTAGTAGATGAGGCATATTTTTTGTACTCTGACCACCTCAACTGCGGGGATTTAGCTTTATACTTCGAAGTATGTGCACGCGGAGTAGATCGAAGTCCCGGGGTTACAGGGTTACGGGAAGAATATTTGCTTGAACGGCTTTGAGTCTTGGCTGCACGG